TTGAAAACCTGGAGAATAGCTACATTACCAGAGCTAACAAACTGGACAATGATGTATTGACTGTGAAATACTAGTCTTTGTGTATAGTCTTTGGAATATTAAACACTACAGCCTTAGACAAACTGTACATGTTATATAGGTTATAGATTAAATTCTTCACTCCCCTACCTACCTTCAATAACAACCCAACAACAAAGTGACATAGAAGATGACAAAGTTGATGGCACACGAGTTATCATTCAATGCAAGAAAAAAACCCTGTAATGTTGACTTTGTGTGCTTCTGAAAGTATTTTGCATAGTAATAATCTATTTGAATTTCCCAGACAATCCAAGAAAAATTAATTTTACCATTGAGAACGTGGCACTGAAGGAAATAAGTAATCACCTGCATGCAGCACCATCTGTGTACCATTAGCAAATTTCAGAATAGATTAGGCCATGTGGTAAAATTATCAGTCTCTGACATCACCTCAGGCAAGCAGTGAATTGATAACAGGATAAGTCTCTGGAAAAAGTAAAACAGTTCTGGGGGGCCCCCAATATAAGAAAGATGTGGACCTGTTGGAGCAAGTCCAGAGGAGGCCACGAATTGGATCAGAGGACTGGAGCACATATCCTATGAAGACAACCTGAGAGAGTTGGGGTTGTTCAGCCTGGAGAAGAGGAGGCTCCGCAGAGACCTTAGAGCAGCCTTCCAGGACCTAGAGGTGTCCATAAGAATCTGGAGAGGGACTTCTTACAAGGACATATAGTGACAGGACAAGGGGGAATGGCTTTAAGCTGACACAGGGGAGATTTTGATTAGACATTAGGAAAAAAAAAAATCTTCACTATGAGGGTGGTGAGTTACTGGAACAGGCTGCCCAAAAAAGTTGTGTACACCCCATCCATGGAAATGTTCAAGCTTAGATGGGCCGTTGAGCAACCTGGTCCAGTGGGAGGTGTCCCTGCCCATGGCAGGGCAGGTGGAACTAGATCTTTATGGTTGGAAAGGTCTTTAGGAATGGCTTTAAGCTGACACAGGGGAGATTTTGATTAGACATTAGGAAAAAAAAAAATCTTCACTATGAGGGTGGTGAGTTACTGGAACAGGCTGCCCAAAAAAGTTGTGTACACCCCATCCATGGAAATGTTCAAGCTTAGATGGGCCGTTGAGCAACCTGGTCCAGTGGGAGGTGTCCCTGCCCATGGCAGGGCAGGTGGAACTAGATCTTTATGGTTGGAAAGGTCTTTAAAAGGTCCCTTCCAACTCAAACCATTCTGTGATTTTATGATTCATACACATGATGAAAAACCCAGCTGACCTCCATGTAATTTTCAAAAAATACTGAAAGGATAAACTCTAAAGTGGCTCATACTGAGTAAGATGAAGAAATATAAAATGAAGAGGATGTTATTTGGTACTGGCATGGAAAGAACAGGGTAGGAGGAGCTTCTGCTTTTTAACAAAGTAGCAGCATGACAAGCTACTGGAAAACTGTATTGGTTTTTTGCCTTTTCTTTAGTGTCCTGGCTTTTCTCTCATTTCATGCAGCCAAGTTAAAAATCAAAGCAGAGAATGAAGAGTTGCAGTCTGTGTCATGAACTTGGGATGTGCTCATGCATGTTAGGTGTGTTCACAGTACTATGTTATGAGACAGAGGGAAGAATAAGGCAGAAAAAGAGCCAATTTCTATACAGATAAAGCAAAGTACCAAGGGTTGTGAGGGAAAGAATATCCCCTCACTTCAAACAGAAGCACGTTTTGAAAAGAATTAGATGGAAAAGGAGTCATATCTAAGGCTGCAGCCAGTTAATTCTGGCAGTGAAAAGGCTGAGGATTCCTAGACTCTAGGATTAGTTTTTGCATTCAGGAATGAAGTGGAAAGTGTGATTAAAAGAGCCACATCAGTCTTAGAGATGTCAGTGTTCTTCAGCTGAATGAGAAGTCAAATGAAAATTACATCACTGTTTTCAGGAAGGCCTGGTGAAACAGGGGCTTGCACAGAGATATTGCAGACAGCAAAGGGAGTAGAGGCTCTTTCTAAACTTTTTCAGCAAAATAAGTAAGGTTTAATCTAAAAACATGAGCTAGTATTGAGATACTGCCAGTCATTTGAAGTAGTCCTATGCTGTGGTTATAGGATGTCTGTAGAAGGCATTGATGCAGCTTATTCTCAGAGGATTCAGTATTTGAATTTCTCACCTGTGAATGGAAGAAAGGGCATAAAAAGAGCAACTTCCATCTGTATAGTTCTTGTGAATGGCAAAAGGTCTCCTTATGTCTATGAGATTGTTTTCTGAGTGCAACCCACAAAAAATAAGAATTCTGTACACTCTTGTACATTACGTTTCTAAGTCCTACACCTATTAGGAAAATGTAATTAAGTAATTGGCTATGGAAAGTAGTGCATACAGCAATACCATATGGTCCAAGGCAGCTTCTTGTGTGCAGAGATACCCATACCTGATTGTCAGAACCTACACTCACAGAGTCTGCTAAAAAAATGCTATTTCAAAACTACATGTTAAACTGTTTCTCTTCTGGTTTTCCAGATTGCAAGCAATATGATTGAGCTCTCTAATTAAGCTTACTCAATAAAGTGTAACAAAGCAACAAGAAGTAGGTTACTTAAAGGGAAATAAGAAAAATCATATGAAATGGAATTTTTTCCTTACAATTTTGGTTATTTCAAGAAATAATTCTCTAGCTTAAACAATGAAAGCCCAACCCACATGCAGTGATCAAAACTGGGTCATTAAAAAACATGATAAATGATAAATCTAAGACAGTTTTGAACTATCCATATTTTCAGTCTTGGATTTTTGCTTTTTCTAGAGGAAAAAAAAAAAAAACCCACAACATTTCTTCTTATTCTAGGAATATGGCATTTAATGTAATATATAATTCTGCACTGAACAGCACCTATAAAAGTATCTGAGAATGTTGATTTCTACACTGTATTTCAAGAATTTGAGCTGATTTTGATGCTAAATATTGTTCTCTTACTAGTTCTGGAAACTGTGAGGTGACCTATACACCAAATGCAGTTGTTCAAAGGTATGAACTGCTTTTTTTTTTTTTTAAATAGATGAAACTCAAAGTTACACACTAATGCTTCTGAGTACAAGAATTCCTAGTTTTAGTAGACCACGTTACTGTGTAGTTTTCAAGACATCAGATTTCTGCTTCTCAGTGATGAGGTACATTACTATTAGTGGTGCATCGAACTATAAATTACTGAAATCTGGGGCCTTCAAAGCCTATGAGTAAAAATGAACTGACATTCCATAGGACAAAAGAGAAAAGAAGAATATACTGTCTTTGTGGATGTGATAGAGAATTTGAGGCAAATATCAGAAGCTGCCTCTGTGATGCCTCTTGTTCTGATATGCATTAATGTTTTGAACAAAGAAGTCACAAAATATAAACTGTTATACCTCAAATCAAAAAGTTATTGTTATAATCTGCTTGCACAGTTGCAATGGATCTGATTAATGCCTTCCATGATTCCGTTAGAATAATAACATGAGCATAGAGTGTTTTAGGAAGCATTTTTGTGGCCAACGCATTGTTGAAGTAGTATTCAAATTAGTAATCAAATCAAGAGAAGTTGCTTCAGATGTGCTAGTTTATGTTGGCAAACAATATAATTCAAACAAATACACCAATGTTCTGCATTTGGAAGTCAGGAAAGAAAATTCATAGCACCAATATTGTTCTATTTTTAAAATACAGAGAGATACAGTACTTAGAAAATCCCATTCAAAGAGGAGTAATTGTTTTGGCATAGTAAGAAATAGTGCTGATCAATATGCAAGGCAGAAGTTTGTATCATTTAATTACTGAGGTACTTATGACCTTTTTGACCATATGAGAAAACTGCATCAAAGTGAAAGCAATGTCTAGTTTGCAAGCCAAAAGAAGAATACTACAATTTGATTCTAATGCCAAAGAGTGTGCTAATAAAAACCCCACATGAATTATCTCTTATAATACTTAAAATGTCTAACGTTGCATTCAGCAAGTAATCCTGCACAATGTCACGTATGGCCTCATACTTTTACAGCAATTCTGAAGTTTCTATGAGCTGGAAAAAGAAGTAATATACCACTCTGAGGTATGACAAACTATACAGAAACTACCTAAACCACTGAAAAGCTGGTGAGCGTTCTTAAATTTGTTTAAGCTTCAGCAGTAAGTATAAATGTTATCTTCCACAGCAGCAGGTGAATTATATTAAGAAATTAATGCCATTAGTATGTTTTAAGGGAAAAAAACCCCAAACATAGGAATCTACATGGGAAAACATCAGTGTCAAGCATCTGTTGAATAGCCTTTAAGATGCACAGACGAGAAGATGGAAGATTGATTAATTCGATCTCATACCTTGTCTTTGTGACAAAGCATAACTACAGCAAACAGTGCTTATATAGTGCACCAGCAAGAGGGTCATATCCCTTTTAAATAGTTAAATAATATAACTGATAAGTTTTACCAATGGCTTTTACTTTTTCTCCTTTCCAGACTGAATAATAAGAAGGTATTCAAACTAGGAAGAGGAGATTTTCCTCAAAGGAAGGAATCCCTAGAACTGGATCTAAGATAACTCTGTCTGGAAACAATCAAATAAAATGTATACATTTCTGCCACACTCACTCTCAGCAACTAGAAGATCATTTTCCCTTGACCTGTTAGATTTCAGATCTTAGACTAATATCATATTACTACACATTTATTAAAATTAAGAGAAAAATCAAACTACAGCTTCAAAGGGCATTTGTTTTGTATGCAAATGGATAAAAAAACTCATCGTCCTGTTGACATCTGCAACAGAATTGTGGTTATGAATTTCTTAAGAATGAAGGACTTAAAAAAGATGACATACACAATGAAACTCATTATATTCCTTTTTAAAATAATTCAAATTCTTACAAGAACTTAGAAAAAATACTGTAACACTGTGAGACTAATTTGCAAATATATATACCAAAATTCACAGTCGTATTGGTACTTACCCACTAAATGCCTGGACTGCATAAAGCTTGGAAGTATCCAAGGAACTTCCACTTACTATCCGAGCCTTTAATAAAGACCAAAACCAAAATTAGTTATTCAGTTGCTCTTAGTAAGCCTTAGACAGGATTTAACTCTATAAATAAACACATAACATCTATATGAAAATGTTTAGCAGGGTCAGCTCCAGGCCAAAGCTAGAGTAACTACTCCTTTGGAATACATTTTGATAGCATTCAGCATTTAGTGAAACACACTGGAAGAACCCATGGGAAGATAAGATACTGCTTCCCAAATATTGTTGCCCATTAAGTCCTATAGTGCATGCAGTATAGATGACAATTAGAGACAAAAATCCCAGAAACCATGTTTGACAGTAGCAGACCCCTGTGTTGGCAGTTATGATAAGCACACAGTGAGGGTTATCCTGTTCATAAATGCAACACATTTGCAATACACTCAAAGGAGAACAAAAGAGTGAAAAGCTGGGAAAAACATGCAGATATCACAACTAAAATGAAGGAACTAAACAAGTCAAATAAGTCACAAACAAACATCAACAAAATACATGATCCCTATGGTAAATATGTGATTTTAAACCTTTTCATCCACAGAAACGCTATCTGGAAGAGAATTGGGAAGAAGGGGAATATAGGTTAGACAAAAGACTCTCTGAGAAAACATCTTATGCTATAAAAAGCTGTCACTGTTTTAATCTGCTAGTTCAGAACAGAATCCAAGTAACACCTGTGCTTAGCTGTACCACTGTGGCAAGACCATTGTCACTATATTTTAAAAAAGAAAAAAAAAAAAGATGTTTCCAGTAGATAAGACCCCCTGCCACTTATGCAGGGGTGGATACCATATGATATATATCATAACCCATCACAACATGATTTTAGGATTTTGTTTTGGGTTTTTTAAATATTTTTTTAATATTAATTAATGTATTTAATATAGTTGCAGTGTTCAAAAAAATAATGCCCTGTTTTCAAGGAAAATGAAAGTGCTTCTACTAAGGATATATCTATTGGAAAACCCAAACAAACATGCAAACTCCTGAACTGTAACTGTTCTATGCTATCACAGCAATTCATACAATAACAGAAATTATCCCCAAATGCAAATAGAATTACAATTGTGAAAGTATAAGATATATATTTATATATAAAATTATAAATTTCTTAATGCAAAGATGTGATGTATTCACATTTATATCAGACAGAAAATGCATGCTGACAGGGAGCACTACCCTTATTTTATTGTCTTGTCAGGTTGATGCCTTATAGTACAGTGCATACATGAAACTGCATTGTTTTAATTGTCACCTTACTGATCTTTCCACTTTTCCTTCCTAGTTCAGGTAATTTTCAGATGTTTGGAAATATGCCACATTAAATACATAACGAAATGATCATATACACCTTAAACATCTGCCACATTTCATTTGTTAAACCAGTTTACCTACAAGAAAATATCAAACAGATACATGCAAAATATATTGGCAAATGTGAAGATGCATACATTTTTGTAGTGACAATCCAGGGAACTAAAAGGCTCTATTGTGCCACTGATTTCAGAGTCTACTTATGTGATCAAAGTAAAGCACTTACACAAGAACAAGTAGAATAGAAACTGGAGCTAAATTGTTGAAAATGTGTTTTACCAGTCAGATTATCTGATTTTGTATCAGAGGATCGAGATACTAAGGATTAGCAATATCACAACACCAAATTTGATTCCACAGAAAATCCAGCTATGGAACAGCCTCTCCTCCTTTGTGAAACCACCAAATTTTCCATTTTCTTATCCTCGACTACAGATCTTATCTTCTCTTTCACAGCTACTGTGAATAATCCATTTAGAAAGAGTATGCCTCAGAATGAACTACAGTTTATTTTTCCAAGAAAAACTTACGTTTTGAGTTATACAGAATATTAAAACTACTAATAATTGTAAAATCCATTATTTAGTAAAAATAGTGTAAGACACCTTAATCTACTTTCTCACTTCAAAATTCCCCCCTTCAGAAATAATAGAACTTTTATTTTGCCTCCAAAATTAATTCTTGACTAAATTAAGCTACAGTGTTGTAGTTGTCAAATTACCCTCATTTGACTGGGTAGATTTATAAAAAAGACTTTAGTCTTTATTTTTAATTGTGAAATGTATTTGTCTGACAGCATCAGACATGACTGGCTACTCTTTCCTCACAAGCATATCAAGAAGATTTGGAAGACCATATCATCCTACTTTCCCACTATAAGATTATTACAGCATTTTCATAAGCAGGCTAAGAGCAGAGCCAGGAGCACCTAGATGCCTGTAAACTGGGCTGCCTGTGGTTACAAAATGAGATATGCTATTATGAGGGGTAAAGGAAATAAGAGGACTATTAAAACCAAAGTGCTGGTGCAGCACCTGGGCAGGTGAATGAGAGAAAAGGCAAGAGAGGATATACCAACAGGACTCTAAGTAGGAGAGAATGAGACTTGAATATATTTTCACACTTGCAAAAAAGGCAGAGTCTAAAAGGTAAAGAGAGATAAGAGAACTGACGGAAGTTTCAGGCAAAATATCTCCTGTAAGGTAAGAAGCCTCAATATAATCTGTTCATGCAACCCATAACTTCTTTCTACAATGTCTAATCATAATAACATTTATAATTCTGCCATTTAAAGATGTATAATAAATCTCAGAATTATAGATGTGCAATGCGATTTTTTAATAGCTTGCAGGTACTTTGTTACCAGCTGCCTAAAGAATCCCATCAACTATATGTTTAATTCTGTTGTTTATAAAGTTACATTAAAAAAAACCCCAAAATTGTTGAGACTTGTTCTCCACATTAAATGGAATTTTGTATTTCAGAGCATGAGAGATGGACATATGAAATTTTCTTTACCTCTCTTGGGTTTCAGCCAGCTTCATCTAATTTCACTACACTTCCTTTAGTGGAACCTAATTTTGCCTAAATTTAGGAAGGAGAGCAACAATCAAAAATTAGGAAGGGAAAAAAGGTATTATGTTTTTGGTTTAACTTGTTTTTCTTTGCAGTTGCTACTTAGGAAAAAAAACAAACCAACCCAACAATGTACCAGTCTAATGGCCTCTTTTCTTAATAGAAATTGCACAAAGCAGACAACTGATGCAAATTTCCCAAAACAAGATATTGAGAACATCTCTTTTGTCACAAATGACTGCATCTTTAGAGAAAAAATTAGTTTGAAAACTTCTTTGTTTATTGCTTCTTCTGAACTCACCATGACTGAAATAATCTGAACTATGGAAGTGTTCTCTGTGAATATGAGAGCACCAAATCAGGAAGCATACAGTCACCAAGCAATTCACTTTAGTAGTCATTAGACTACCAGAACAGACAGCAACATTCCTTGATGTAGATAAGAAATGAACTGTGATTATGTAAGAGACCACTGAATATATTTTCAATTCAGGGATATAAGACTAGACATCTCAGATTATGCTGCTGAATGACAATGATTTACTTAACAGTGTAACTTCATACAACTCATTTCTGTCATTCACATGTACTATGGCAAACAACTAACATAAAAAAAGTTATGAGTGTACTGAGAACAATGTAACTGCTGGTTCATTAAGTTAGCCATATGGGATACTGCTTATTTCAGTTAGTTTTTTTTCTCCTTAAATACTTATTTTATGTGAAAATTCACTACACTGTGAAATACCTGTAATAGCCTTCAAGTCATGTTCCAGAAAACAAATCTATCCTCTGTACCATGTGCCTTTTTAGATGATTGGAGGGTGTTTTACTAGGATTATAGAAAAAATCCATGGAGTGCTAAGTAATTGTTGCTATTTGAGCTCAGTGCATCTGTGTAGGGGAATGAAGTGTGGTCATCTACCTACTTACTAGTGAAATTTGTATTGACAAATGTCAAATACTGAAGGCAAAATTCAATATTTTTTAGGCAATTTGATAATTTCAAATTCATGTATGTTTAATTAGCTAATTGGTAAAAAGAGGAAAAAGCTTAACTTGGTTAAGGATACCGTAGTGGTACAAGGTAGATACAATTTATATCATTAGAACAATTAAGACAACGAAGCAGAAAACATATCATGTCATTAATTACAGCAAGGGAAGCATGATGGACAGCTATCATATCACATTTCTCCAAATAAGCTCATTTTCTATGCAGAATTTTAAGTCGATGATAGAACACGAAAACTTTAGGAAGGAGAACAGAGTCTTAAGGAATATTTAGCAAACCATATTTTAAAAATGCACCTTCTTAGCTACAAAGTTTTCTTCAGCTCTGTACCATTCTTTACCATGTATATCAGAAATACAATTGGTCAATAGTCTCAGTCAGCAGAGATATTTAGATCAAAGAAGTTCAGCAGATCCCCTGCTCCCGAGTCACAAGCATCCTTTAAGCCTTGTGTCATTATTTCTCTTTTGCATTTTTCTGAGCAGCAGAGCATCATCCTAATACACTTTCTTTAATAATTTAAAAAATGTAAGTCACCACACACATCCCGTGCCACAGCACAAGAACTGTCACCAGGTCCTAAAAATCTAAACTTCCTAGGAACTATGTATACTGCCTTGATTTTCCATTCTTGTATGTGTGATAATTGTATAACATCAAATTGGAAAAAGATTTCAAGTCCTTTATTCTCTCAAAGTATCATTTTAATCTTTAATTCTGCAAAGTGGTTGCAAGAATGTCACACTGAGTGGTAATTACACGATTCTTGGAAACAAACACTTTAGACATAATACTTGCTGGAATTAAAATAACAGTACAGCTGATCCATGGAAAAATACCTATGTAAAGTAGCCACAGTCAGAAGTAGTTTGTAATCTGAGCTGGACACTTCTATTTAGTATGCATTGATAAAAATAGGGTCAAACAAGAGCAGCACATTAAAGTAGATTGTCTGTCCAAAACAATAACAGAAATTGTCATGCTAAAAAAATAAATGCTGTATCCAGAAGCTAATATTATCACTACAGAACAGAATATTACAGTATGTAAGCTTAGAGGATGTTGTGTTGCTGAAGCATAGTCTAGGAAGATATATTGTATAATGCTTGAAAGAAAATATTAAAGCTAGCGTATCATAAGAGATGAGTGATGCTTGTCTGACAAAGAGAAGGTCAAACTTGAATAAAGCTTGGTTGACAGGAGAAATAGAAGAATTGCTGCTAGCACTTTACTAGCAGTGATGTAGAAAAATTACTAGTGGATGCACTGAGAACCAAAACAGGAGGTCATCCTGGTGCAGATAAAACTGCATTTCTGTATTTATTAATAAATTAGTCTGCAAATCTGAAACAAGAGAATATGCTTTAAAAACATCTCTGGCGCTTAGAAATTTGAGTCCTGTTAGGCTTCCAATGGTTCTTGTTTCCTATTGTCTTTCAACAGCTACTAAATACCTCTAAAAAGAATAAATAATTGACTATCAAGAGAACTGTTTATTATTACAGAGTGTGGTATGATACTAGATCTTCTTATTTTTAGTGGTCTCAAAAAACTACAGGTTTTGGTTTTTTTTTTAAAGATGTATAATAAATGTCAGTATTATGTACATGGAATGCATTTTTAAAATAGTTCGCAGATACTTTGTA